GAAGTACAAGTCCGGAGAAAGTTCGCCTCTACGTCACTGTGGTCTGGTCGATTTCTCTGCACCTCATAGAAACAGCAGCATTCAAGACGGCACACTAACATCGACTGAACAGTTTTTAATGATCAGTCAATCAGTCAGTTTGATGGCCGTTTATCCCATTATGAAACAAAGGCAGATAGGTCAGACAACGTTACCAATGTTGCTGATTTGCGCCAGCATTTGAACTTCAGCAGAGGAGGTCCCGAGTCTGGAGCAGAGTCATTTGAAACAATTTGGACCAGCTTTTTCTTCGCCGTTCCCGCGGTCTTCGGCTAGTCGTTGAAGCAAGTGGTAGTTATTTCGCCTTCCTTTCTAGCGAGTTTCGCAACGAACGCAGAAAACCATCGCAGCTGTGACTTCGCAATCTGGCGAAGAAAAGGCTTTATATCAAGGCCGTCTCGAATATCTGAACTCTGGATCATGTTTAGACGCGTGAGCCCAGTGAATCTTCTCATAAAGCTCATTTTTGCTGCTTGTACCCGAGATCGCATGCCCGTTTTCTTTTTTTCCAATTCCGCTTAACAGCAGTCTCCGGTGTTTTTTCCTATTTTTGTGCAGAAGGCTCGTTACCGATTATGGTTCAGAAGCCGTACATCGACGTCTAAACTGTCAATATGGCTATTAGAAAAATATTAATATTCATGATTCACGGATATCAACTGAAAGTAGCACATGCCTTCGATTAGAAACGCAAGTTTTGATTTCATTATTCAGCCATCGTAATGAACAAACTAGCCTCAGTCCGCTCCTCTTGCAGCATTGACTTAAATATACCTTTTAAAGAAAGAAGCGATTTCCATTAGACTGCGCAAATTAATCGATTTTGTGTGAGGTTTCAACTCAAATATTCGTTTCTGCCAATGCTGCATAGCCAAACCGAGAAAGTATCAATAAATGAAGATGTAAAGAAATGGAACTAAAGATAGGCAGAAATCGTCATCAACATCCCAGTTTCTCGAATTTTCCAAATGGAATTATACTCTGATACAGTCTACACAAGAACCCACGAGGGAGCCCGCATGAATGGACCTAACTCATCCTGAATTGTTGTGTTGGAAATATTCATCTCGAGAGTGCCTCTTCTGCCATCTAGCGCACCATAGAAATACGAAGCCAAGACAACAATGGTACTGCGATCAAGCAGGCCAATCCATTTGACAGAATAGCTCGAAATTCTGTAGCAGGGAACCTTCATTCAGTCATACAGCAGAAGAGGACGTAAGCCATAACTAGCTTCACCATTTAGAACTTAACAAATTAGAATTCTTTACTTCGACAATATTAACGTTAAACAGACCTATAATATTTGTTAACAAATCCATTTTCAATAGCTGTTATTCTGTTTTAACACAGCAGATCGCGCTATGTTATTTGCTCTCTCTTCAGGCTGAAACTTTGTCACAAAAAGTTCGGGAAATAACTAATTAAGTCAAATTGCCGCTTGTTGAAACTTTTGACATATTTAAATTCGAAATTGTCTGAATAGTAATTAGTTAAAGAGATTATCCTTTGTTGCAAAACAAATTGCGTAGCCGTTTGCTAAAACTACAAAATGAATCAACGCAACAACATGAGTTAAATTTTCAGGCTTCTAAAGTCGCTTTGTTAATCTAGTAAAAGTTTTTCTTATGTTGCAGACTCTCCAAGCGAGCCGATCCTTATCAAAGAATTTTCATACATCTAGTAACTAAGCCATGCCAATCACCATTTTTGATTGCATTCCAGATCTTTTCAATTTTTTCCATAGCTTCATTTAGTTTTTTCTTAGTAGACATGATATCTACGCGAAAAGATTACGGTAAGCTGTCCTCCTGCCATACGTTCATGGTCATTAAAAATATTTCTTTTCACAGACTGAGTTTAAATAGCCAAAGACTGTGGTGACCTGGCCAGTTTTACGTTTATTTCCCGACTGTTCTTTATTCGAACAACGATAAAGCTTTCCTTGAAGCATTTCTGTCGGTGAACAGTGGGACTTATTTCTGTTTTGATACAAATTGGGGAATGCTACTTTTCTTCATTCGAGAATAGGCCATTACCAATGAACATGAGGCGAATTATTGTCAGTGAACCTTAACCGTGTTATTTGTTCAACATTTTTAGCCATCGCTGAGATACAGTATTTCTCAAAACGCGTCAAAGGGTACAATTGTCCAGTGTAAAAATTAAATGTTTCCTGAATAAAAAAACACAAAGCGAATAATTTAATAATATATGGAAATATTTACAGGTAAATCACCAAACAGGATTTCACTGCGGCACGATGAAATTGCCCTACTTTTACATGTCTAAGGAGTCCTTCAAACAGGCCGTAAGTGAGGTCGTACAGGCATTTTAGCTTCTGCATCGCATTATTTTTCGTTTTAGAGACATGCCTTGCACGCCACCATAGAGTGAACTGGACACAGTGCATGTGATTAATGTGTCGCTTTTCCGAACTCAGTCGATGATGATGTCATTTCTAGACGAATAAGGCATATTTCTTTACATTTCGTAATGGAAACAATTTTTCGGCTGTTCATCTCGTTGGACTTGTCCGTCTAAGCAAGCGATGCACGGAATGACGGCGAAAGTATAACCAGTGAAGAATCTTTCAACCGGCAACGAAGAGTGAACGCCTTAATTCTCGTTTAACGAAATCACGATGCTGTTGAAATATGCCCTTGCCACGTACAACCCGAGATCTTTCGTCTGGTCATAATATCTTGGACACATTTGGGCATCTTGAAAGAAATGGTCGTCATGGCAGGTTGGAAACCCCAGGCATTCTAGCCTACGTGAACGTCGACAGTAATAATGGAGTGCAAATAGCATAGAATTTTCTCATTCTTATAAGACACGAAAGACCTGAAAAACAAGCTGTTTAAACGACTGAATGAAACGAAGCCTCAAGCTGCAGAGTTCACAAGCAGCAACTATACCATCCGTGATCTTGAAAAAGTCTGATTAGCAAATTAAAAGACAGGATCTGGTTTATTTCATAGTTATTTCATTCATTTAGACTTGCTGTAAATGATTCGTTTCCCTTTCCAAATCTTCTGATAGAGCAAATTGCCCCATCATAAGTTAAAGGTGCCACATTTAAGGGGAAATTTAAAGAAAGCGGAAATATTTCCTAGTGAAACAAAGAATCTTTGGTTATTATATTAGTTTTCTATAACGCCAATCTTTCTAGGTCTACTCGCTATTTACTTTTTCAGCCTGGCATAGCCTATACAAAATTCTCTTTAGTTACAGTAACTAAAATTTAAAATCACTGATCAGGTAGTTCTAGACCAGTGGTTACGAAGAACCTCTTTAAGCATTTCAGATCTGGAGTAAAAGCATTCGATCGGTTCTTAGTATCATTCGTTATCATACGCAAAATTGGCAAAGGTCAAAGTGCTCGGTTCAGAAGCAAATCTCTATCACGCTTG